GGAAAATCATCATCCTTTGTTTATAAATGATTAAGTTGCTTAAATTCACATACATCAAACAAACTTAAAACAAATCAAAATTAACCTCAGCTATAATTGATTTAGGTTATTCAATATCAACACAACCAAACTTAGTATCTTCTATGTTAATACTTTAATGAAAATGTATCTCGAGATATTCACTAAAAATAATGCTTCACAAAACTTTACAACACAATGAAATACCTCACTTTATTTTAAAAAAGCACCTCACTTTATTTAAAATGTTTCAATATTCTTAAAAGAGAATTAAAATATTATAAAATGATCCTAGGGTTTTTTTTTTTTTTTTCTGTATACGCTCTAATAGCCAATCTTTAAATTTAAATAAAAATGCCATAGAAAAACCCTAGGATGAGTGTCATGGAAAATTTACTCAAGGGATCCAGGCATGGTGACCCATGCATGTAATCCCAGTGCTCAGGAGGCAGAGGCAGGAAGATTCCAAGTTGGAAGCCAGCCTGGGCTTCAAAGCAAGTTTCTGTATCAAAAAACTAAGGGCTGGGATGTGGCTCAGTGGTAGAGCACTTGCCTACCATGTGCAAGGCCCTGGGTTCGATTCCCAGCACCATTGTACTGTGAAATCAAAATTGTTCTGTAGAGATAACAAAAATTATTTAATTAGAGGTAAAATAAGACCTGCATTACTAAATTAAAGCCATAAATACATTTTACTTTAAATCTGAACTCATCATCTAACAATTTTAAAATGATTGTTTTTCAATTGTCATTAAGTTATACTATTCCTATTTAAAAACTAGTACATGTACATACTACCTACTGAGGATCTATGAATTTACAAAGCTTAGTAAAGGTCAGAAGAAAATATTCTGGCAAAATGTATCTTATTTCCTAACTTCTTCATTTATTACTTTAGGGACCACTTGATATACTAAGTCTTGGAGGTGGAAGTGATCTTGCCTACGGATCAGCAACATCAGGTTTGAGGGTGCTCTTGAGAGGAAAAAAAAGCACTGTTCCTACACCATAGGTAATCTATGAGGGTTGGTGCAGGTGGCAATAGAAAAACAGCAAGGGTCAGACAAGGATGGGGTGAGTGGGAATATACATTAAAATATTTTTACATTTGTGAAACATTACTAAGAATGTACCATAAGGCAGTACTGGTAGTTATTACTTTTAAAATGGCAAAGTAACAACAAATTGGTAACTCAGTGGTCTTAATGTCTCATGGGTATTCTAACATTAAAAAGTTAATGAACATTTTAAGTTCTTTCAGATACATTTTAACATTCAAAAACAGATAAAACCATACCAACTTCACCCCAGTGAAAAGGATTAGTGCTGCCTGTTGTGCAATTATACACCATGATGTTTCTTGGTCTGCAAAGACAAAGATGAAAGTAATGAAACATAAAAAAAGGACAAATTTATCTAATCTAAACCTTATATAACATGAAAGTAGGAAGACATGAGGATGATGAGCACCTGTTATATATTATGAAAAATTTATCTTCAAAAGACTATTTTTTTGATGACTATTTACAATTACCCTTTATCCTTCCTCTCCCCAAAAGTTACACAGATTCTTTTTTCTCTTCATTATTCTTCCTTGTATTAAGGAGTATGTTTTTAAGGTGAGAAAACAACAATCTTAGCTTTTCCTGTTTTCAGGATTGTAAATGACTGTATCATTTTCAGAGATTCAAGTCTAAAAAAAAAAAAAAACTACAGACTAAATACGTTCCCTTTTGCCAAAAGCAAATATTCATAGGATCATATTTCTCCCTTTTTTAATATGCAAAATACTGACTTCAAAAATAAGGGCAGTTTATTAAGTTGGGAAAAATTAAGCTAATAGAAGTTTAAAGTTTTCTTATTACCAGTAAGTGCTACTACTACCTTTTAAAAGAATACATGTGGGTTGGTTAAAGTTGTTATAGTATGTTTGATATATATAAACCATTCTCTGTGAACTTCAACTCTTCATAAATATCAAGTTATACCAACTTTTAATTTGAATTAAAAATGCCATGGGGGAAGACTATTTCTCATTTTCAATTTCTAATAAACTTGTGTATTCTGAGAGTACACAAGTTCTTGCCTGTGACATACCAACTCGTGAAGTAAATCAGCAGTGATACTGCCTATATAATAATATGGCACAATTAGACTAAGGGGTTAATTAACTTAGTAGCTCCGTTTTCCCTAACCAAGTTACTAAATATTTAACAAGTGACACTGTCACCTCATATACCTATTAACTCCGGAATACCAGGCTGCCGCAAGACTTGTGTTGACAACAACATCTACAGGAACAAGATCTGCAAGGGCGTTGTTGGAGGCACGCATTGTTCGAAGAATTCCTTTCCCTGCCTTTGTTGAAATTAAAAACACCACCTTAAGATACATAAGTGTGCAAATATAAAAAGATACACAGAAAAACAAAAAAACATACAGGATATTAAATCATGAAGTTTACTTACCGCAATAAAGAGACCACTTGGTCCATTAAAGTTATCAATCCATCCCTAATGCCAAAAATTTAAAATAGGGAAGGGGAGGAAACTTAGAATTATTACAGAACTAAACATTTATTGTTTGAAATCTACAATTCCAAATTTATACTTGGTAGTTTTCTTCTAAAAACTAAAAAAATCTACATTTAGTCCAGAATACTGCTCCCAGTTCTGAACAGAAGTAGCCTTCCTCTGGGATCATAAGTGTCTAAGTAAAAATTTTTCCAAGCGGTTACCTACTCTTCCATTAACTCTGCAAAGGGATTTTATAGAAAGGAGTGTATACTGTCAATTACTTTTGCTCAGTTTAGCCTGTATAAGTTTGGGTTTATGCTATTTACTAAAGCAGCATCCTTATCAGGAAAAAAATGATAAATTCTCCCCAAATTTACTGAGGAAAACAAATTATCAAACAAAAGAGATGATATCACTACCATTATAGACCTAGGTTTTTCCTAAATCAATTTATCTATTGGTTTATTTTTCTGCTTTATCTTATTCCAGGAATTTACAAATAATCTAATACCTTATTTCTTTTTAATAGCAAATTATCAAAGAAATCTCTCATACCTTTCTATAAGATAGTCTTGTTACCTGAAAAGAAAAAGGTCTACCTCTTTTTGGTAATAAAAAGCAAATGAAATCATGGTCTCCTTTACTCAAGATAATGTCATAGTTTTCAGTTAAGATTTGAAAATGCTGACCTACATTTCCATATACCAGAAAAACATTAGAAATAAAAGTACTAATATTATGCTTCCTGTGGTCAATTTTGCAATAGCAAGCCATGTCTGGCAAGTAATACCTGTTCTTAAATTAAACTGACAATTCTTCAATCCCAATTATTTAATATTTTTAACAACTTACTGGAAATGGTTCTTTCCAACTGGCACCAACAATTGACGGCCTTACAATTGCCACATTTAGCTTTGCTCCTTCCTGTTGTACAACATATTCTGCCAGTGCTTTTGTGTATATGTACGTATTAGGTCTGTCTCCTATCAATTTTGGTGTGATATCATTTACTAGGCCATCATCCATCCATCTGTTGAAAAAGAAATGGCATATGAAATATTTCTACATGTTTTATTATAGAATGAAAAACCGTTTAACTGAACTTTGCACAAACCCATTTGTTGCTGACAGCAACTTTTACTAAAATTTAAAAAAAGGTAGCCTTAGTTTCATTAAACATCAACTTACTCCACAATTTCTTATTTGTAACTTCAAGATCCAAAAAGATTTGAAAATCAACAAAAGATTCTTAAATCATATGATAGCAAAACCTGACCCGAATTGATTTATGGTCTTCTAAAAATACCATTTAGTTTAAATATTATTCACTTTGTATACGTTTAATAGGAATAGTACATCAGACTAAAGTGAAGTCATTTCATATTATGCAGTACATAAATTTTATTTCTTTTACAAAGTCCAGTTAAATTTCAACTTGGCCTCATGTTTCAGATTACGAATTACAGATTTGCATACAACCATCTGACAGAAGAGCATGCTAATTATATATATTTGTAATTCACATACATTTATAGTTAATATATAAGGACTAATAATCCAAATATTTAACTAAAGGGAGATTGCTATCCAACCTAGCAAAAATTGTACAATAGAAATGAGTTTTGAAAACACAGTTGATAGACAGAAAAACACTTGCTGAAACTGAGGAAAGACTTTAGCCTGTAAGTCTTACCACTAGAGTGAGTTTATAGAGCAAACCTGAGTTAACCTAAAGTTATCTTTTGTTGGATTTCTTTGAAAGCAAGCAAAGGAAAAGATAAAGAATTAGGTTACATGCTGGGTGCTGGTGGTTCACACCTGTAATCCTAGCTACTCAGGAGGCAGAGATCAAGAGGATAGTAGTTTGAAGCCAGCCCAGGCAAACAGTTCATGAGACCCTATCTCGAAAACACCCATCACAAAAAAGGGCTGGTGGACTGGCTCAAGGTGTAGGCCCTGAGTACTGAAAAAAAAAAAATTAGGTTACAAGCTCATTCTCATTTCCTTAGATGTTTGTATATACCAGTGCTAGTAACAGAAAAAGTAATATGCTTCATTAACATCCACATTCACCTGTTCTCAGAGATGGTAAACACACTCACTACTGGTATATATTTAGAATCATTTGAGAAAAGTCATGAAATCAAAGTCAGGGAATTAACAAAGAGTGTCTCAGTAATCTCTGATATTTAGTAATTTTCTTACAACCTGCTTCCTCATGATTAACAGGAGAATCTTTTTTTAAAGAAGAATTTGTGTGCTTATTTTAGAGAAAGCTAGGGATGGTTAAGAGTCAAAAGTTAATGGAATGTCATTTATTCTCATAAGAGGAAAGATTAACAAATAAGATATAATGATGCTGGAATGTTTCTGAAAAGACCCTCTTTTTCTTTTTTGATGGCTCTGATCCTGTTTCTCTATTTTTTTTTTAATTTTAAGTTCATATGTGCATACAATGTTTGGGTCATTTCTCCTCCCTTCTCCCCACCCCCTCCTTTACTCTCCCCCCAGCTCCCTCTCTTACCTCCCCCTTACTCCTCACTACCAGGCAGAAACTATTTTGCCCTTATCTCTAATTTTGTTGAAGAGAGAGTATAAGCAATAATAGGACGGACCAGGGGTTTTTGCTAGTTGACATAAGGATAGCTACACAGGGAGTTGACTCGCATTGCTTTCCTGACCCTGTTTCTCTTGGTAAGAAAGCACAGGCTGGACCAGATGAGAACCAGGCCATGGCATATGCATATTTCACTTAATCCCAATTCATCAATTACTCACAATATTACTCACATGTAATAATTGCTGACAAGATCTGAGTTTATCAGATGATAAATAGTACCACTAGGATTATAAAGGACTACAAATCCTCTGATTTCCTAATTAAAGGCCGTTCTGTCGACTTACTCCATTGGGGGCAGGGGGTCCCTTTAATAAATTAGAACTTGCTGTTTATTAAACGGACAGCCATTGGCCTCCACAGAGAAGCAGAACTGATGACCTGGAAAATAGAGCTCCTAAAATCATGGATGAATTGTTCAGAGCCCTTCCTTTAATCTTTATACTTGGTCAAAAGTAAAAGTCCTACACTTACTTCTAACAATCACATAAATCTGTATAGTCAGAGCACAGTAGACATGCAAGAGTTTACTGAATAGTGGAGGAAATAAATATATGCACAGGCAAGTGGGTGTGTAAGAAGAGGTAGAGAGAGAAAAACAGATAAACCTGGATCCAAAGTTTTGGGTTAAAAGCAATGTATAAATGAATTTCAAACAAACATACTCTAAAGAATCAATCAGCTTCTTGGGATCTACAGGGGGTGGGTAGACTACTTCATCAATGTGCTTTCGATTGCAGTAGGCATATGCTGTTGACACATGCATGAATACTTCCAGATTTTTCATTTGTTGTGCCAGGAGAATAAGCTGTCGTGTAGCAATCACATTTAACTGAACAGCATCTCTGTAAAAGAAATTGACAATGAAAAATTGGTTTATTTTACCTGTTTAAAAAAAATCTTAGTTTCATTACAGGAACAGAAAGACAGAAACACAGGGGATTTTTTTTATTGTTTAGGATTTTTTTTTTTTTTTTGGTAGCAGCACTGAGGTTTAAAAACTCTGGGCCCTGCACTTGCTAAAAAAGCATTCTACCACCTGAGCCTCACCCCCAGTCCTTTCAATGGTTTACTTTTTTTTTTGTAGATAGGTATCATGCTTTTGCCTGGGCCACCCTTAAACTGTGATCCTCCAACCACTGCATCTTGAGTAGCTGAGATTACAGATGTGTACCACCATAGCCAACTTGTTCTTTGAGATGGAGTCTCCCTAACTGTTGCCTTGGTGGGCCTCAAACTGCAATCCTCCTATCTTCCCCAAGTAGCTAGGATTACAGAAGTATGTTAACACACCTGCCCCAGGTTTTTGATTCTTTACAACTTATCCTTTAGCTATAACTTTGTGTGTTTTAATATATAGCACATTTACTCTATGTTTAAAAAGAAATTTTCTGATTATAAAATGAACTTCATTATGGGATTTAAAAAATACAAATTAATTACACAGCTGGTAATTTCAGTCTTTAGCTTTTATAAATACATTTTGAAGCCATGCTAGACTTCTTATGCAACTTTTTTGTTGCTATTTAATTTTTTGGTGGGATTATGGTTTGAACTTAGGGCTTCCTACTTGCAAAACAGGTGCTCTCCTGAGTCACACCTCTAGTCCATTTTGCCCTGGTATTTTGGAGATATGATCTTGTGAATTATTTTTCTGGGCTGGCCTCAAATCATGATCTTCCTGATTTCAGCCTCCAAGTAGCTAGGATTACAGGCATGAGCCACCAACCCAGAGCTGCATGTTGCTTTTTAAACGTACAATCTTTCAGCCAGGCACCAGTGGCTCACACCTGTAATCCTAGCTACTCAGGAGTCAGAGATCAGGAGGATCGTGGTTCAAAGCCAACCTGGGCAAATATTTTACGAGACCCTATCTCATTTTTCAAACAAAAAAATTAAACGTCTCTAAGTTCATTATACTATGGGGAAATTACATAATTGGTAATTGTCATATATCAATATGACAGAGTATCATATCATCAAATCACTTTTTAACCACAAAAAAAAAGATAGCTGTTTCTATATCAAATTTAAAAAGTAGAAAGTTTACACTCACAATTATGTAAAATCAATACACATTCATACATAAATCAAAAATAGATTTTTACAAAAAATGAAAACAGCTTTCAGTACTTTCCAAAATGTTCATATTGTCAGTATTTAGGATAGGAAAAAAAGCAACTATTCTTTTAAAAGGTCAGGAAATGTGGACAGGATCTAGCCCACTTGACTGTACAGCAGGGCTTTGATGTCTATCTTGTTTGCAAAATAATAGGAATAAGGAAGGTACTGTTTATGGAGAGGTATACTGAGAATATTTCATTACAAGTTCTTTAGGACAGGACAAGGAGTTCTGGGTCACCAGAAACAAGGAGGAACTGATGAGAAGGGGAAAAGAAAAAAACAAAATAAAACCAAAAAACACAGCCCAAAGATCTCCTGTACCGTATTCTTTCCCCCTAAAAGCGTTTGAGACCCTATGAAAAAAATACAAGGAGAAAAAAATTTTTGATGAAATTACAATTATGGGTATACTCTTTTTCTTATTCCTTATCTCAACTGAGGGGGGAAAAAAAGATCTGCTCAAATGAAAATCCAGCTGAAAGACATTTCTACTATCCACTAGACTATTAGGGAATGTGCTACTTTCTTTTTCACTTGCAAAACAATGGGGTAGTTAAGAGTAATGTTTTGGGCAAAGTACACTAAGGATATCCTGTTACATGGTTCTGAGGACAGTGAGAGTGTTTCTGGGTCACTGAAAATGAGGAATAACTGAGAAACACACTCCTGTGCATTGCCTCCCTCCCACCCTCCCCTCCCCCACCCTATTTGTACCTGAAAGCCCAAATTTGAAGCCATTTTGTGCCTACATTAGTTAATATCTCTGCCCAGTTAGTTAAGCTGACTCTTTTTACCTCAATCCAATTTTAATTTTGTTGAATTTTAGGTTGCGATCTTACATGTTAGACAGAAAATATTCAGTACTAAACAAAAATAATGCTTTCACTGTTTTCATTACATGGAGTCACAAATGCATCTAAAGATAGCTTTTGGGAGAGGGATAGAAAATGGGTAAATCTTTGTATTGTGGTCCTTCGCTAATGTAGACACAGAAACCTTTCCCCAAAAAAAGTTCAACTTGAACTGTCAGTCAACTTTCATCCATCTTCTACAGACATCCTGGGTTCTTCAAAGTTTATTTGAAAATACTAGGCATAACATACACTCAGATACTTTTAGTGTTTGAAATGAGGTCTGGGAAACTACATTTTAGATAAATTTCTCAGGCCATTTTGACACAAATTGCTTTTCTACACTCTCCACGATTACAATGGTCACTTAAAAAAATAATACTGTCAAAGATGTTTAAGGACCAACGAAATGAATTTTAGGGTAGAGGACCAAGTATCTATAATTTTAAAGTGTCTCCAATGCTGATTCTGACAGCAGTGGTTCTAAAAAGTGCAATACAAGGGCCAATAGCAACTTCATCACATCCAATCCTCTTGCGTTGATTCTGGAGTGTTATTCTGTAACTAGAGGGTCAAAATTTGGCAAGTTCAATCCAGGAATGTGCATGTTAAAACACACTTTCCAGTTAATTTTTTCAGGATGGAAAGGAACAGATAATATTTTTATTAAAGGCTATGTCATCCTTTTCTAAGGTAACATTTAAGAGAGTACACAGAATGAATCTGATACAGAATCAGAGACAGAGCTGGGCACTGGTGGCTCATGCCTGTAATCTAGCTACTTAAGAGGCAGAGATCAGGAGGATCACAGTTCGAAGCCAGCCAGGCAAATAGTTCACGAGACCTTCTCTCGAAAACCCCATCACAAAAAATTGGGCTGGTGGAACAGCTCAAGGTGAAGGCCCTGGGTTCAAGCCCCAGTACCTCAGAAAGAAGAAAAAAAAAGAATCAGACACAGAGCAATCAGTCAGCAAAATGTCACCAACAACTTGCACAATGCTCATGCGAGGACAAAGACTGGGCCCATTAGAGGCCCTCCCTGGCATCTTCCAGCTAATTCTTAAGATTTATAATACATCCTAAAGTTTGAGAACCGATGCCCTTAGACTCAATGCCTTAGATTTGGTATTTTCTAATCATAAATCTTTACTTTCATTTCTTTTGGAAAACCTGCTTCCATGTGCATATTCTGAGCTTTATCACCCAGAACTGCTCCATCTCCCTTATTATGATTTTCTACTAAACTATACCTTCTGTCCATCCATCTCTCCCCTTAAAACTGTTTTTTTAATCCTTATCATGATCTCCAGTTTCTGGCTACTTCTAGTATCAACAATATTGGTCCTGCCCTGAGGAATACTAGACCCCATGACTCCTTTATTATCCTCATTATCATCTCTCCCCCTTAACCTTTTGACAGTATTTCGTTTCTATTCCTCATCTTGCTATCAATTATTTCCTTTCTAAAAATTAAGAACCATATCTGAAGATAATGAGTTCCACCTCCTCTCAATTCTCACAGCACTCACTATATATTCTTTAGTACTACCTTACCATCTACCCTATATCATGGTTTTTAAAGCATATCCAATCTCCTTTATTAGACTCTATGGACCTTGTGTAAAGGATCTGTGTGCAGCTTATCTTGGTTTATCCCCAAATCCTGACCATAATATTGTAGTAAAATCTAGATTCCCTCCCCTGCCCTGGCAGACAAAGCTTTGTGCCATTTTATATTTGTGTGTTAACTTAACAAATGGTTATAGAGTAGGATTACCTCCAGTATTTTAGAATGCAAGCCCAAATCTAATGTCCTATCATCATTTAGATGTCAACATCCATTAAACTTGCTTCACAGAAATAATTTTGATGTAATGACTAGGACTAGGTCACTAAACATGCATGCCTCGAGTAGAGTACCAATCCCTTTCACTATGGTCTCTTCACAGTAGATGTCCTTTTCATTAATGGTAGCCTCACTATTATCCCCAGGGGAACAGAAAGGGAGCAGTGTACTACAGCCCTCCTTATAAAGGTTACTTTGGTGAGTCTCATCCTAATTAATGCTGTCTGTTAACAAATTGAATTCCCCTTTCAGATCCTCTAATTCCCCTCTTTAAATCAATGACTACTACACCACAATTAGCCAGTGTCTACACACATTTTTTCTTCTTGAAAACTCTCACATGGCTATATGAACTCTTTTTTTTTTTTTTTGATTATGAAGAAAATAATGAAAGCCAGAACCATGTGTGGGGAGGGGGAAGGAGAATATCTGTTAGACTGACCATTTCATACTAATGAATTTTAGAAAACATAATGCACTGACTAAAAATTAGAGACCTCAGGATGTGGTGGTGCATACCTGTGATTCCTGCACTTGGGAGGCTGAGGCAAAAGGATCATGAGTCTGAGACTAGCCTGGGCAACAAACCAAGACATCGATTCAACAAAACAAAAACTAGAGATCATATTCACAATCTTGGAAATATTACTTAAGAGAAAATTGTTAGATCTATATGCAAAAACATAACACATATAAGAAAAAAATTTAAATGTAAAAGTTTTCTTAGTTGATGAGGGCACCAATTCCTTTAAGATTTCTTATATGTATTGCTTCAAAAACCTTTTTTTTTTTTTTTGAGTGCAAACTCAGGACTTTGCACTTGCAAAGCAGGTACTCTACCACTTGAGCCACACCGCCAGTCCTTAAAAACACCTACAAACACTTTTAAGAAGTTACCTGTGGGTGCTGGGCATGGTGGAGCACAGATGTAATCTAAGCTACTCAGGGGGCAGAGAATGGAAGGATAATTTAAGACTAGCCCAGGCAAAAAGTTGGTGAGACCCCCATCTCAACCAAGCAGTCAAGCACGGTGGCATGTGCCTGTAACTCCAGCTACGCAGGAGGAACAGATAGGGGGGACATCTATTCAAAGCCGGCTGAGGGCAAAAACATGGGACTCTATTCAAAAACTAACTAAGAACAAAAAAGGGCTGTGGACATGACTCAAGTGGTAGAGCTCCTGTCTAGCAAGCACGAGGCCCTGAGTGTAAACCAGTTATTTATGTCTATCTTTATTTAAAGATTAATAATGCTCATGGTGGAAAAATAATATATAGATAAAACTAAAAACCATCCAAAGACAAATACTGGCAAATATAGAAAGACATGTACATAAAAATATATGTATTCTATGAAAATGAGATTATACTACAGTTCTAATGATATTCTTTTGTTACCTTTCAATCATACATAACGGCCGTATAGAATTTTACCTACTGGCCTCATGGAAAGAAATGAAAGGAAGTAAGTAAGTCAACTGCTACAGATTCAGATTTTCTGTGGTGGACAGGCAGACAGATACATCATTTAAACCTTATGAAATAAAATCTTTTGAGAGTTTATAGATAAGAAAACTAAGCCTTCAAGGAATAATAACTTGCCCAAACTCATCACCCAATAAACAATAAAGTCAAGATTAGGACTAACTCCAAACCCCTGCCTTCCCATTATAGTGGTGTGTCAGTTTCCTCAAGTGTAAGATGGATTTCCCTATAATATCTTAGTGGGTAAAGTTAGCATGGAATAAAATCAAGGATGAGAAAATACTTCAAAAACTAATAAGCAATACTGCAGAAACGTAAGGGACTAGTATAGTACCATAACCTGGAATACAAGCAAAACACATTATAATGCTTTGGCCGTGAACTCTCACATAATGTAATGTTTACTGAGGTTTATACTTCTATATTTGATAAAGTTATCTTTATCTTGATGGGTAATAATATCAAAGCCTCTGTAATTAGAGCTTAATTTTCAAATGCTTTAAAGGGAAGGCTGTACAAGTAGTTTTGAAGCCTAAGATTATAGTATTTTAACTGGCTTAATAATATAAAAATACTATAAATTAGATTAACAAAATAAAAACTATACTTTTCAACATACCATTAAGAATGCTCAGAATAACCATGAGTTGAAATGCATATGAGATTTTTAAATTGGTAAACACATAGAATGTTGCTTTTTTCCTTAGCAAGTTCTTTTAACAACCTTTAGGACAGTGAGAGCCATAGTAAAGAAATGGCAGTTTCAAATTGCTTTCAAAACAACTTCACTCTTCTTTTAAGCAAGCTGAAGTTCAATTATTGCATAAATTGTTCTTACCTTAAATTTTCATTAAATCTTACTGTAGCTGCACAGTGGAATATAATATTGGTAGAATCTATGATGACCTCTTTATCTTCTTCACTAAGAGCCAACTTAGGTTGGGTGAGTTCACTGTTGATTGCTATAATTTTCTCTCTAAAATCTGGATTTTCATCTCTCAGTCTATCAAAGAGCTTTCAAAGAGAAAAGAATGTTTATTTTATGGGAGTATTTTTCTACTTTCTAAAACCCACTGTAAATCCTTTTCCCCACCAAGAAAGAATATTTAAAAAACTTACCAAACTACAATTTTTAAGGTTGCTAATTTTATAGAGAAAACACCCCAAGGGGCTCACACCATTATCCCCATTTTACAGATATATAATCTTCAGAGTCAAAGACCTCAGGTAGTTTGGCAAGGGCACAGAACTGGTAGTTTACAGGATTTAACATGAACTATACATGCTTTAGCTAATTAGATTATACTACGCCTCAGAATAGACTGAAGTTATAGTCACAAGACAATGTTTTAAAATGATCATTTAGATTCCTAAAATCCAGACCTTAATTTATTACTTCAGTTTGCTTTGGTTTTATTCCTGAAAGTCTATATAACATATATAGTGCTTTTACTTCCTAGATAGATAACGTTAGTACTTAACAGTCTCATCCAATACTCCTAGCTAATTACTTGACTCATAATGTGTAATTAATTTAAAAAAACTTACTAAACATTTCATGAGCCTTTCCTATACTGAAAACACAAGGAAATAGACTTCATACTCAAGTTTAGAGCCTGAGACTAAATGGATTAGAATATAATGTTCTAAGTTATAAAACAGGAGTAACAGTACAGTGTTATGAGACTGCATAGGAGAAATGACTAAACCAGCTTGGAAAGACTACACCTGAATTCTTGAGGAAACATCCGAGACCTGAAGTGAGGGAGAAAAGACCCTGAGATTATAAAGTACAATAGTATTCCAGAATATGATGGAAAAAAAATCTGTTTTAGATAACATTTTAGGAGGTAACATCAACTGGACTTGGCTGCTAACTGGATTTGGGGGATAAGGAATGTTAACTTCATGAGGGCAGGGACTACATCTATTTTATTCAGAACACAGGCACTACACAGCAGGATGCTTGGCAAGGCACAGTCTTACCACTGCTAAGAGAATATACTCATTAGGCTGGAAACACTGTAAAGAAACTAGTATGGTTTTGAAGATTCAGCCTTGGGAATATTGAGTGTATAGTGGCTACATGACACCCAAAGATAGGGCTAGTCGGTGACTGGCACTGTGGGTCTAGAATTCAGGACGGGGAGAAAGAGACCAGTACAGATTGTACTCATCACACATAGCAGTAAGGGAATCCCAAGAGTAGAAGAGGTCATCCAGACAGCAACAGCTATGAGCACCCAAAATCTAACCTAAACACTTCTAGCTCTTTCTTGCCAGATGTGTGAAAGGCAGAGATGGAAAGATCACAGTTTGAGACCAGCCTGGGCAAAAAGTTAGCAAGATCCCATCTCAACTAAGCATGATGGTATGTACCTACAATCCCAACACCATGGGGAACACAGGTATTAGGAGGATTGAGACTGAGGTCGGTCCCAAGCAAAAACACCAGATTAACTAAAACAAAAAGGCCTGGGGGCATGGCTCAAGTGGTAAAGCATCTGCCTAGAAAGCACAAGGCCCTAAATTTAAAATCTCCAACACTGCAGAAAAACAAAACAAAAAAACAAAATTAAGTCAGACATGATGGTTCATTCCTGTACTTTCAGATACCTAGGAGGTGCAAGTAGGAGAGCCTTGTTCTAAGGACAGTCTCAGGCAAAAGCACAAGACCCTACCTGAAATATAAACTAAAGTAAAAAGGGCTAGAAGTGTCATTCAAGTGGTAAGAGTTTTTGCCCAGCAAGCCCAAGGCCCTGATTTCAAACTCCAGTACTGCCAAACAAAACATAACGAAACAACAAAGCTATTTCCAAATCAAATTTAAAGAACAACTATTCAACTCACAAAAAACCGAGGGTGCTGTATAAGTACCTCATTGGACTTATTAAAGAGCAGATCAAGGTTTAGGATGGAAACCTAAAAAATCAGTATTTAAAAGGGGCAAGCAAAGAAAAAACATACCTAAGGAATGGCCAGAAAAGTACTTTTTGACAATTGTAGCAGTGTTTCTTCATTCTCCTTATTGCCGATGGCTTGGACATGATTATGCTGATTAACAAGCTGGATCTCAAATTTAGTATCTTCCCTTTTCTAGCCATCATCTCTTTATACAATACCATCTTTTTCAGTGATTTTAACCCGCCAGTACCCCAATTAGTTCCTACTTTATTAACTTCACTAATGCCTTTTTAAATTCTTTATTCCTTTTCCAAAATTTACTTCATGATCAACTATTTAACTTTGGGTGTTTTTCTTCCTCTTTTGCAATATTGGGGATGGAACCCAGGGCCTTGTACATGCTAGGCAAGAGCTGCCATTGGGCTATATCCCTAAGCCCATAATTGACTATTTTAATTCAATCCCCATCATTCAATGAAATTTCTATTCTTTGAGACATTCCCATTATTCAATGGTTCTCAACCAGGGATAATTTTGGTCTCCGGGGATGTCTAGAAGTATTTCTTCTTGTTTCAATTGGGAGAGAAAAGGAGAATGCTACTAAAACCTAGTATGTAGAGATTAGGAATGCTAATGCTGACTCTACAACACACAAAGACAGTCCCTATAAAAAGAACTATCCAGTTCAAAATATTAATGGTGCTAAAGTTGAGAACCCTGATATAAAGTTAATGATCTACTATGGTATACCTTAAAATTTACTAGTTTCAAGAATATATTCACTGCTGTTTAACATAAAAAAGACTAATTTTTATTGATTTACCATGATGGAGAATGACTAGCCCCAGGAATAAGTGGTAGGGTGTGCTGGGAAGAACTGGAGGCACAAGAAGAAAAAGGCATAATTCATGGAGTATCAATTTTAGTCAAACATTTGGGGACAAAATATTTTTATATTAAAAATGAGGACATGTGTTTAGGTTAAACTATAACATTTCAATGAAATTTCATGCTTTAAGAATAAAATAATTCCTTTCTTTACAAATTAGTGTGAAGGAATTTTTAGAAGCATTGCCCTGAAAATCCCAGAGAGATGCTTGAATTTTTAATACTATACTCAGACCCTAAATTCCAACCAAGATATCAGTTTCAATGACTGCTCCTATTCAATCTCCTCTTGATACCAGTATAGTCTCTATTTCCTCCTCCACCCTAAAAATTCTTTAGAAAACAGAAACTCCATCTTATTTATCCTGGAATTGAACCCTCACATCAAGTCAAGTGCCCAAGACTAAATAGGAATACTATTTTCTGAAAAATGAAAAAGAACCCCTCACTGGCAAAAGGGGGTTATTGGGAAAGGAATTAAAACATACCAGTTCTAGTGATTCAAGACAAAATGGTAAGATTAGTAAACCAAGGGCAAAGAAGGCAACAAAACAATGACAAAATACTTAGAACAAGACTGGTGGTCTTCTAGCCTCCTCAATGACTCCTCTCTCACAGGTTTTAAGGGAAGTCAAGAATTCACAAAGGGTTTAGCAAACGATCAAATGGTTAAGGGATATTAATGTAGATTAATAATTAACTGAAAAGTACGGGAACAATTTTAGATTTGGAGAAAGAATCTTACATCCCAGGGTTAAAAAGTATAAAATAAAAGCAATATAATGAGTAGTACTGAATGGCTTCAAAGAAATGATAATGTGAAAGGATTAATTAATTCAAATCCAAAATCACAAAGGTACATGAGGTTCATTCTAGGTGAAAAATCTGGCTTGGTGGTTGTGGAGGGGTTTGCTATAGTTTAGGATTTTCTATCAGACCTATAAAAATTTAGATATTCAAATAAGTATGATTTTCATTCCAAAATAAACGCTATAATCAAAATTCCCTTTTGAAATATGCCTACAGTCAGGTTCCTTAACATGTATCAAAACTGAGCTTAAAGTTTTCCAATTCAACTATGAATCTCAGATAAAATCATTCATTTTGAGAGAATTTATAAGCTTATGATGATTATGGAATAATTTTACTCTATTTCTAGTTCTTCCTAGCAATACTTTTTCTCAAGGTCCAAAATCTGTAACATATAACATATGACCTCTTTATCATTTGCCAAAAGGGAGTATGTGACTTTTCTGCCTCCTCATACTGTTAGGAGGAACTACTCCGGTGCCTATGAATTTTAAAGTGTTACCAAAATATAGTGTCTCATTAGTATAGTTCAAAACTAATTACTATCTGAAGACTAAACTATCTAATGATTACAAATAATCTGCCTCAAATATTCAAAAAACGTACTTTAAATACTTACAATAAGTTATTTAAAACTTGTCAGAAAATTGCATTCATCCTAGAAGAAAGTTTTTTTTCTCCTACTGATCCATAAACCATATACAGCTCATTGTCACCTTGTAGGAATTTGTTTTTTCCAATAATGCTTTTAGAAAATATACTATGATTCCCATAGTTACACACACAAGCACATGCTTCTTTTTGTTCCCCCTGCAAATAATCATTCTCCACACTTACCTTGCTACTAAGGATTTCTTCCACTCTTTCTTGAGGTTTCTGTCCAGCTTTCTGCCTCACCAAAACATACACTGAATTCACCTTAGGACAAGACCTCAGCAACTTTTCCAAAAGCACCTTTCCTAGGAAACCAGTAGCTCCTGTGAGGAGGACATTCTTCCCTTCATAGTATTCTGGGATTGAAACCATTCTGACCCTAAGAAAAACAAGACAAATTTGCATTAGTTTAAGGATTTGTGTTCAATCTTATTAAAAATCTCTGGTATTATAAAAATATTTTAAAAGACTGACAAAAATAAAAACTGAACAATAACAAGAAAAGATTCTACCTCTGGTTCATTGTAGTAAAGTGGCAAGAAGAACAAACCGCAGCTTATACTCACCTTGTTCTTCCCTTGGATCACCTCAGGCAAGTCACTCACCTTTTCTGGGTCTAAGTTTCTTTATACAGTTTGTACTAAATAATCTGTAGAAATTCCATCCAACAATAAGAGCCCAATTCTTTATTCAACCTCTGCTAAACACTAAACACACTGACTGGTGTTTTTCTGTTCCCAAAGGAATTTATAACACTGAATACAGGTCAGCAGCAAGACTCAGTTGCCTAGCTTGTATAACACTGCTAGGTCTCATATTTATCTATCATCATCAATTGAAACAAGAAGAGGTTAACACTGAGTCCTTTCTCCTACATGCTTGTTAGTAACAATAAATCCAAAAAAGCATTTAAATTTCCTTTAAATATCATACTAAGAAATATTTTGGCTAACTTATCCTCCCTACCCAAGTTCCATTGAAAAAATCAGAAAAGACTACTAAGAAAATGAATAAACAAAAGAACCATGATGAACAGGGAAAATAGTGCAAAAAGATTCATGAAGCATGTTACTACAGAAGGATAAACCACACTGAAATCAATACTCTATACTATTTAGAAATGCACACATGCAGTACAATATATTAAAAGATGCTCAGGGAGTGCAATACAATTAGAGAAGAAAATAACAAGCTTCAGTTGTATTTAAGTTTTATTTAAGCTGGAGAGAAGATACATGTGTTTTATGTCCAAAATTTTCATTATTAAAAAAGTAATTCATAAAAATCTGAAAAGAAGGAATTAACTCCATTAACAAGTGAAAAAGGGGGGGAGGGCAATGAAAAGAATTTCTAGAAGATGAGAATGAATTGATAAGCCACATCAGAAAGTAACAGCAACTCAAGCAAAAAGGAGTATAGGAAGAGACTATAATGAGGTTAAGAGCTGTCTTTATGAATCTCCTAAATAGAACCTTGGAGAATACACTAAACTCACAATGAAGACGCTTTATTAAAACATAAGGAAACCAAGGCAATTAAAATACTGCTCAAAGAACAGGAGAATCACTCATGATAACCTTACTTCCTATTTAAATTTTGGTCCAGCCTTAGTCCAAAAGTGCTTAAGAAGGACATCCAGATGGGTGCTAGGGATATAAGAAAAGTAGAGCTAAGACTGAAGTTGTTCCAAACATCCTCAAAAGGAGATGAAGAGGCAGGTATCAGGAGAGAGGAAACAAAAACCACCAAAAGAAAAATGTCAGTATAGCACTTGGTCTTCAGAATAAACTTTAGGGCCTCAATCTACCTGTCTGCTTCTGCCCCTTAAAGCAAACTTGTACAGAGCTCTCTCATCCCATCTGGGAAAAATTTCTTTTGGGAGAACAGATCTCAAAAACATAAGCAAGTCACTAGCAGCTACTAAAACCAACACCCTAGTCCTTCATAAATATGAGTAGATAACCCAGGATCACTAGATCCTGGACAAAATTTGAACTCATAGAACCAACCATCAAGGAAACCAAGATAATGAAAATTTTAAAAAGAACTTAAATTCTTATAAATATCCTCCAAGAAGAATAGTGCATTCACAAAATAATTACTGTGAAAAAGGAACAGAGAATATCAAAACATTTGAAAATCAGCGATTCAGATACAGGCAGAAAATCTAATAAATAAACTAGTACTCTTACCAAATGAATTTAATAAAGTCACTGGATATAAGGTTTATAAGGGAAATAATGTATTTCTAACACATACCAGCAACAGAGAATGAAGTTAAAAAAAATTCCAAACCATATCATTTATAATACCATCAAAACTACCCAAAATTACAGAAAGTGCTAGAAAAAATGCAGAGAAAGTGGAACACTTACATGCTGCTAGTGATTATAGAAGCACTTTTCCTATTGGCCAAATATTAAATCAACCCAAGCTGTTTGTCAATAGTAGGCATCCACAAAAATACTGGTTGTAAGTAAGAACACTGATTATCTTGCAAGAGGATAGGTAAGGAATGTGCAAAAGGATTCTGGGATACTGGTAATGTTCTACTTCTTGATCCTGAGGGCTCATTTTAAAAATATTCATTAAGCTGTCCACCTAGGACTAATGGTATGCTTAATAATTGTTACATTTCAATAAAAAGTTTATTTAAAAAATAAGAAAACAAAGGTGACCATATATCCTGGTCTGCCTAGAACAAGACTGGTTTATAACTGGGTGTGGTGGTACACACTTGTCATCCTAGCACTTGGGAGGCTAAGACAGGACGATCTTGAGATGGTTGCCAGCCTAGGCTACATAATGAGAGACCCCTCCAAAAAAAAAAAAAACACTGACTATATATGTTATTAATTTTGAATAGAACACTCTTCCTCCAAAATGTCCCAGTTTGTAAAATAAATTATATGAAAACTATATGCTTACCCTAGTTGTAACCGCTTCAGGTCTGAGACTATTTCAATACTTCAATGACTAAAAGCCTGGTTAGAATTGTAGAGCATTAAAGTTCAAATGTTAATAACTTCATTTGGGAGATATGACCAATAATCCTACAACACCACCACCTAGAGACTATGATAGGTATTAATGAAAATTACATACTAGATATATGTTAAACAGGATTTTAAGAACAGACTCCATTATAACAAATTCTCTGAGCTTCATTTTCGTCTTACGTATAATTTTTTCAACAAATATAAAGCACAAACTAGGTATCAGGCATGAGAAAGTTTTCCATTTGCATACATATGGAAAATAAGTACAGATATTCAGCAGTTTTTTCTAATAATTGAGGGTTTATAGGCAGAATGGGTGACTGGCTATATCCTAAAACAAAGAAAAACTACTGGAAACTCAGTACAGCTATACACTTTTTTTTCCCCCCGCCAAAATCCTAGATTCCTTTATTGTGGCAGTCGTGGGGTTTGAACTCAGGGCCTCGTGCTTGCTAGGTAGGTGCGCTGCCACTTGAGCCACTCCATCAGCCCCACTTTCTTCCTTCATTTACCAGGATCTTCATTTACCAAAGCCTAAACAGCAAATCTGTTAACAGAGATGACAGAAAAGTTCTCACCAAATTTAATTCTCTTAGGCTTAACAGTATAAAGACTGCTTACTTAGAAGAGTTTTAAAACTCTTCTTGTCAGCCTCAGGTAACTAGTTCAAAGCTACTTATGAGATTTTATACTACCATAATGATTTGCACAGTTTTCATGGAGTAAAAAAAAGTTTAAAAAAAAAAATTTCCTTATCACAATGCCACCAAAAACTACAGGTACTAAGTATTTTTAAACTCTGTTTCTAGGTATTCTTGGCTTCCCTGTCCAAGCAATATCATCCTACTAACTTACTGGAAAAACCAGTAAAAGATGACAATTCTTTTAAGGGAAGTCCAGACTTGTCACCTCTTCTACAGTTTTACCAGTGTGGTCAGAAGCTACTGGAAAAATAATGTCAAGAAAAGAATGGTACTAGAGTATGCTATTTAGAGTCCTAGTAGAGTTCAAGATCTAAGAGCTTGTATCATCTGTGGAGAAACAGCTGCAACACTAAGAGAAGCAGCAGAAATATCACTCTGATTCACTTACAGATAGGTGTAGACATCTAGCAGTGGCATGTATTCTTTGATTCAAAAGTTTGAGATAAGCAGAAATCTTTCTAAAGACTAGCAAAGTACTTAGTATCAAGCGTCACCACTACTTTCAAGGAATTCACTTAGGCTCACTTGCCAAAGTGGGCTTTCCCAGTGGCTGTAAGAAAGAATATTTTCATTTAAAATTGCACTAAAAGAAACATATTACAAAGCTACTTAAGATATATTGCTTGCTAGGCACCAGGCCCCAGTGGCTCACACAAGCTGAGGTTGGGAGGATCACAGTTCAAGGCCAGCATGAGCAAAAAAAAAAAAAAAGTTCCTGAGACACCATCTCAATGGAAAAAAGCTAGTGGCACATGACAGTCATCCGAGCTACGGCAAGAAGAGTAAAATAGGAGGATCAATGTCTGGGTCGGCCTAGACAAAAAACAAGACCTTATTTCCAAAATAACAGGAGTAGAAAGGAATGGAGGTGTGCCTTGAGCTGTAAAGCACCTACCTAGCAAGTTGTGAAGCCCTGAGTTTAAAACCCAGTACCTCCAAAAAGAAAACAAACAAAAATACTCAAAAGAGCTCAAATCTTTTGTACTTTTTTGCTAGGAGTTCAAATCCAGACTCTGACTTAATACTACTCCTACTATGAAATGGTAATTGAAAATATACAAAATTTTTTCAAACAAATTAAGCTGTTTGGTAACAAACAAAATTTGGCATACATACCAGAGACTCATGAACAGAGACAAAAAGCTTACTCTGCCACTGAGGACCTGGCTTTGAGCTGCAGTGAGGTGATTAGCCTACACTGTGTAGGTCTCATCTCATGAGGAACTGCTTAACAAAATAAACATTCAAAACAGCAGAAGAAAGGGAAGCAACCTTTAGGTCACACATCAACAATTATATGTAAGGTGGACTGCAGAATGGTATCATCTAAGAAATTATTTGAGTGAGCCAAAAAAACAAGTGAAAATTGTTAGCTCTAAGGAGAAAATTAAGGAACAAAATAGGAAAAGTAACTTTCTAAAATGGTGCTCAGCTCCAGAGATTCAGGAGGTGAGAGGAAAATATTGTCCCATTACTTAAAGGATTCTAGTAATGAACATGAAGTACCAAGAGAGTAAGTACCCATGATGTTGGACCATGCATTGTGGTTCACACCTGTAATCCCTATTGGGGAGGGAGAGACCAGGAGGCTATTTGAGGCTAGCCCAGGCAGAAAGTTAGTGAGAGTCCATCTCAACCAATAAGTCAGGCAGCTGTAAGCCCAGCTAGGTGGAAGG